AGCCCAGGTTGCCCAAAGCCTGATCCAGCCTGGCCTTGAACCCCTCCAGGGATGGGGCTTCTTTTGATGCCCCCAGGACACGGGTGGTTTCTGGGCTGCCAGCGCACACTGCCGACTCATGTTGAGCTTCTCATCACCCAACACCCCCAAGTCCTTCTCCTCAGAGCTGCTTTCCATCCATTCTCCTCCCAGCCTGGATTTGTGCTTGGGGTTGCCCCGACCCACGTGCAGGACCTTGCACCCCCAATATTGGGGTGATGAAGGACCCCACTCCTCAGGACTGGAGCAGAGATGAAGGGGAGCAGTGCAGCATTTGGCTTCAGGCAGAAGTCCATCATTTGTCTCTTTTGGGGTGGGAGGATTGGGATTACGCCCCCCAAACCCACGCGCAGCAGAGCAATGCACACCAAAGCGATGTGTGTCAACCTCCATGGTTGCAGCAGCTCCTGCAGAGCAGTGAGGGCAGAAACCAGCAGAACAACCCCAGTGGGGTGAGGACATCTCACGCCAGAGCAAAAACCCCACAGGAGCCAGGGAAAGGCCACCCCAAAGCACCGACTCTTCCTTGAAAAAAAATAGGTGCTATTAGCACCAAGGTGCTGCCCTTTGAGCCAGCACAGAGCTGAAAGAAGCAGTCCTGGCTTACCCAGTCCTCCCCAGTCACATATTCCCCCTTCACATCATGGTTGAGATGGGCAAGGGACCTCTGGAGGTCATCTGGTCCAACCCCTGCTCAACCAGGGTCACCTTGAGCAGGTTGTCCAGGACCACATCCAGTTGGGTTTTGAGTATCTCCAAGGATGGAGACTCCACACCCTCCCTGGACAGCCCATCCCAGACCCCCCGTGTCGCTCACCATCAAAGACGGCCCGGCTGTACTGCGTGGTGGAGGCCAAGGGCAGGCAGGTGTTGTCGAATTTGTTGCCGTAGTTGCCAATGCTGACCTCAAACTGGATGGCATCGTCCACGTCTTGGAGCATGGTGGCCGAGTAGAAGGCAGCAAAGAGGGAGTACTTCCGCCGGCGCAGGTACTTCTGCAACAGGCACAGGACCACGTCCATGGAGGAGACGCCACCACCCCCCTCCTACGCACAGACCCTTTGCCTGCTACACACAGACCCAGCAAAGCCTCCGAGATGGAAAAGGTCATTGCAGGGAAGAAAAGCATAAGTTGCAGGAAGGGAATTTTGGGTGAGATATTTAGGAAAAAAACTGACAAAGAAGAAGGTTAGAACATTCCACACAAAAATGTAGTTTAATCCTGAAGAAATGAGCAAAAGGAGCGTATCTGCGATAGTGCTCGAGTTGGGATTGGGGTCCTGCT